GTGTGTGTGTGTGTGTGTGTGTGTGTGTGTGTGTGTGTGTGTGTGTGTGTGTGTGTGTGTGTGTGTGTGTGTGTGTGTGTGTGTGTGTGTGTGTGTGTGTGTGTGTGGGGGAGAGAGAGAGAGAGAGACCTTTTTACTGTAAAGTAGTCGGTATTAAAATATGAAGCAAATCTGTACTCCAGAGCTGCAACTCACCACACAATATACACATTGCCATAAATTTACAATCCACTGATCAGATAGCAGTCCTAATTTTGTGCGGGCTGGTCTGGTATAGGCTGGTCTTGGTGTGTCCTCCACTATAGCAGAAAAGACTGGGTTTCTGTGTCATCCACAGCTTGATTAACAGGATGCTTCTGAGATAAACAATTATTAGAATAATTGTCACAAATACACGTGTTTGGAAGTTGAATACAAATGAATTTGTGTTGCTTTCTGTTCTCTCTTCAGTGCTGGGGAAGGTTCGCAGTGCAGTCGGAAGTGCCCAGCTCCTAATGGCCCAGAAGTTCCAGCAGTTTCGGGGACTGTGTGACCAAAACGTGGTATGTCTCTAGCCTTCCTGGGACCTTCCACTCTACAGGTCTGCAGGAGCATGAAACTGAGACCCACGCGTTTTTTTTTAACCAAACCTAATGTCATATTTTTGTTATTCTGTCCTCTTCAAGACATGCTTGCCACGATACACGTACAAGCGTTCTCACAAATATAGAAACTGACTAATCTGGGAACAGCCACGATCACAGCATATTAGGTCTACACAGAATAAGGCATGGTGGCCCACCAGCACAAAAGACAAGGAGCTTATAATAAGCCAATAATCCATTCCTCTCTGTTGACGTGTTTCATTGGCAAGGACTTTCTACACCGTAGCATTTCAAATTAATAAACTGTTTTTTTAAATAACTGTTGGTTCATATGAACCAAATATTGGCCAGATGATCATGGCTGGAAAATGTCTTTCATTATGTCATCATGGTCTTAAGACGCTGCCATCATGACGAAAGACAGAAACATTTCTAAATAGATCTGTAACCATAGGTAACAAAACGACCTAATACAGACATGTAGCCTGTCAATGTGTCAGGGCTCGGCTAACTAAACATCTTATATTAATATTTTGCACAGGGGAAATTGGGTATCTGTCCAGAGAAGCTTCTAGGCATATTGTCTGATTTGCACATTCAATCAGTTAGGAACGTAATCATGAGCAATCATTTATTTTCTGTTTCCGGAACTTCACAGGTCCTTTTAGCATGATAGCAACACAGCAAGTGTGTTTTGCCTAAAACGTCTGGACATCCCAGCAGTGAATGCAGCATCGTGAATATGAAGAATAGTGTGGAGCCCGCACAAACAAAAGCCAGTCTGCCCGGAGCATTACAGACTCTAACTGTGTCAGGGGAACAGAAGTAGGAACAGGATATCCTTCATACGTTTGCCAATCTGCACTTTGTGCAAACGATAAACAGCAGCTGTTTGAAGGCAAGCGAGGGGTTTGATCTCTTGTTACTTTTTAATCTTAATGCGACACTGGATCATTTCTTTTTGTTGACATTATCATAAATGTAATGCCCGCTTTTTGTATTACTCCGGCTCAACATGTAGGCTTATTTTACTTGTCTATGTTGAAACATTTCTCGTATTTTATCTTACTAAAAGAGACAACGCTCAGTTGTGATCTTTTAATTTTGTCTTGAGATCAACTTTTCAAAAGAATTTAGTTGTGAAATGTCTCCCTCTAGTGATGAATATGCAAAGAGCAACACTTGATGACGAGCAGTGTGTTTAGTGATGCAGAGGTGGAGTACAGTAATGAGCTGCACCTTGATGGTCTGGGGATGTGACGCCCCGACCAGGAAACACAACTTCCCTGGTTTCTTTCTTTCTTTCTTTCTTTCTTTCTTTCTTTTGGCCTCTCTGTCTGTAGTGGCACCTAACTCTTCATATAGAAAGCTGACTTGTCAGAAGCTATAGCCTGTGAGCTTGAATGTCCTTTTCACAGCAGTTCAGTATGCACACTGAAAGAGGAGCAACACGAGGTAGCCCATAATAAGGTGTAAAATAGACGTGTAATGGGCTCTGACTAGTTTATTCACAGCTGAACAAAAAGGACGACTTCCACCAAACCCAACAAATGGAAAGAGCTGAGTACAACTCCACGGGCATTTTTACATTTCAGTTCCAAAGATAAGGCATCATACATTCCACACTCCAACATTGACCGTGTCCTCCCTCCTCATCATTCATTGTTTGTGCTTTCATTTTCCCTCCCGTCTCCCTCTCTCGGTCAGAATGTGAATGCCAACCCGCGGCCCACAGCCCAGGACCTGGCAGGTTTCTGGGACCTGCTGCAGCTCTCCATCGAGGACATCAGCCTCAAGTTTGATGAGCTCTACCATCTCAAGTCCAATGACTGGCAGCCCGTGCCGTCTGCGGCTGCCCGGTCGCCCCCTGAGTGGAAGGTACTTCCCACCCCTGCTGCCCAGTGCCCTGGCTGGGGTAGGAAAGCCGCCGAAACCGGCCTCTCTCCTCCCACCACCACCACCATTTCTCCCACTCTTTTTTTTTTTTTTTTTTTCTGCGTGGGATGAACTCTTAACAGAGCCTCCCTGTCCAATACAAAGGGGTCAAATGGATCCCTTTAGGCATGCATGGAAGACAAATCATCTCAAAGAGGGCTGTCGTTGGTGTGTTTTTAAATGTGAAGCCCTGCTTTGAGCATGCATGCGTCACTTACTGCGCTGCTGGTTGCAGTGGAGCATGGCTAAGAATCACTGGCTCATGTGACAGAATGCAGTCTTGCTTTTGCTGTCGCTCTGTTTAGATGTCTCTGCTTGTGTAAGCGTGTCTGTCATTGTGTTTCTCTCTCTCTCTCTCTCTCTCTCTCTCTCTCTCTCTCTCTCTCTCT